TCCCAAATATTTGATTCTGAATATTGAATTGTTGATGTTCGCCTCAAGATATTAACTTGCTTATTAATTATTTCGTTTCTTCGTTTAATGGCGACCACTTGTCGTTCAACAATATCAGATAATCTTTGGGTCAACGCATTACCTTGACCAAGGTAATCTGTAAATGCATCGAGCCTCGTAGTTAGCCTGTCAAATTGTGCATCCATCACATCAATCATTGGGGCTTTTCTTTTTGTGCCTCGAGATGACGATGTTCCAGTAGTACCACTAGATGCAGCAGATGGCACTGACTGAGTACCATCAACAGGACTATAGGAACCATAGTGTGGTGGCGACCGGTATGCTGTATCAAACCCTGCCTGAAAAGGGTCGTCCTGTGGTATGTCATCGACATCATCGTTCAAGTCGACCGTTACACTTGGCATACTAATATTTCTACGGGCTTGTCGCGCAGTCCTAGCCATATGGCCTGTCGCCCGATCAACTCCCCATAATTCTTCCATCAAGTCATAGTACCTAATGGAAGACACTCTCCATTTAGCTGCAGCTGGCTTCGCCTGGAAATAAAAACCATGATTATCACCCATAATTATTATGTTTCACTAATTCAATAAATCCCAAATGTTAAAACATTACCTGCAGCAGGTCATGCCATACTTCAGGCTCAGCTGTAAACCGTTTCGTGGACTCATCCCACGCAAATCCACTAAGTCCACTAAACAAGTCGTGAACCTCCCGCCATCTATCTTTTAGACTTTTTTGTCTATTTTAACATTATTTTTCGTGATACCCGTTAATCCAGTCTGTCGGAGGGCTTCAACAATATTATTGTATGCTTGGGTTGTCCAACTACCATCAACCTGATTGCCCAACCTAGCCTCGTTAAGCATGGCAGTCAATAAACGAAAGTTCATGTCATCAGTCCATTTGGTGAACTCGCGGACCGTAGTCGAGGAATCAAGTACAACAGTTTTTCCTCTGTTCATTTTCCACCTATTGCAAAAATAAGGCATGCAATGATGATAATCATATGTAAAATTTATGAATGAAAACTTGTAACAGAATAATTTATTATAATTAAAACAGTACATGTTATTAAATACATTATTAAATACATGATCTAATTATTAGTAAAATTTGTCCACATTTCATATGCTATAGCATCCCGTATAGTTGACCCTTCCCTATGATCATCCTCACGAGCTTGAGTCAGCATGGTATCCATAGGTTGTTCCATCAACTCTCGATCGACCTCTGCTAACAGCGATTCATCATTGTCTACGCCTCGAAGAAAATTGTGTAAAATGCAACATGCTAGTACAATATTCGTCATTGTATCGAATGAATAATGAGGTTCGGTTCCACTAGCTATTATAGGAAATCTTTTCTTCAAGACGCCAAATGTTCTTTCAATCACATTTCTAAGTGACGAATGTCGATGGTTAAACAATTCTCTTGGGTTTTGTGGAGCTCTTCGAGAATACTCTTTAAGGTGATATCGAACCCCTCGATACGGCGTAATTATTTGTCCTTTTAACATAAATCCAGCATCCCCCAAGTAGTATTTACCTAATTAAAGTCATTGAAGTTATACTCATTATAATATCGTAAGTACGTTACTATACACTAATTACGAAGTAAATAATAACTAACCTTGTGGTATGATAAGTGGATCCTCTCTACCTAGGACATCCTTTAATATTCTTGAATCAGATGCTGTTCCTTCCCACCCTCCTAGAACATATGTGAATTTCATGTCGAAATCACAAGCTGCGAATACGTTTTGGGTTGGCCAATCTTTTCTTCCACGAAAACGGGGGGCATCTGATCTTCCTACTTTAACTCGGACATGAGTTCCATCTATTGCCCCTAAACAATCCTAAGTACAAACAATATGATAGTAATA